TGTATAGGCAGTCTCCAGAGAATGGCGATTCGCTATTTTTTTGCACATACAACTTGAGCCGCCGGATTTTTTCGCACAAAATTGCAAATCTGCGGAGGAGTATTATTTGACATGTACACGTTTCATGAGAAACATGTATTTCAATTTCCGTTTCGTAATTTGAAAATGATGAAGATTTATTTTACGCTACATAGTCGCTCAATTTATCCACCTATGATTTCCCTGCTTTCAAAAACTTTTGCATAACAATTCAACTTTACTTTACTTTACTCTTCTTCAAAGAAGGACGCTGGTTCCGGACCGTTATCTGTGGGGCGTGCTCAGAATCGTAATTTTAATGGTTGACTGCTTCGTCGTATCTCTATATCTTCCGATGTAAAACATGTGTCATGTCATTTTATGCCTTGAGCCGCCGCCGTGTTGCTGCGCTAGGAAATCGACAAGACAGCAAAGAACCAACTGCACTGCCGTCTTTTTTTTTTTTTTTTTTACTCTGCGATAACTTTATTTCCGCAAAATTCCAGAGAGAAAGTGTATTAATATTGACATTGCGGAGGAGCTCTGCACTATTAATATTTTTGCGACGAGAAGATTCGTGAAAGTAGAGCTCTGCGTAATAAAATAAAATGACATTTAGTTCATCCCTTTATTTTCCTCTTTTCATACCAGAAAAGTTTCTATATTGCTTTTCATAACAATATAATGAAATCCGAAATGTCAACATTGTTCTCAATTTGCTTTATGCCTACACTGCTAAAGTGTACATTTGGTTGCAACATCCATCTAAACATTGGCCTGGCCTGTCACTCAGAGTGAAGTTGCATAACAAAAACTGATAGACAACCCAGCACCACCATAAAGCAAGCCATCCACTTAATTTAATTTAATTATGAGACAAGCCTGACAAACTAAGAGAGAGCGGATTCATGTGACAAGAATGCTTCTCAGTCCTTGTTTAATTTTGGCTGAGCAATTTTTCTCCAAGCTTTCAATTGAAGAGGGGTCCTTTCAAACAAATAACAATGCAAACTCCCAAAGCCGAGTAAAAAGCGACACAAAAACCTAATTTTCATATCCGCATGCAAAATATTTCATCACCCACCGCGCACAATTTCATCGCTGGTTGGAATAACAGAAACGTAACGTAGAAAAACAAAAAGTTTCTCGTGAAAACAAAGCCATTCCGAGATAATAATAATTTTGCCAGGCTCCGCTACTCCGTTTTTTTCGTCTACAATCTCGCAGATTCCACACTCTGAACTAGATTATGATGAGAGACGGAATGAAAATTTCCTTTGTCTGCGAGTCTTAGGATTGTGGTTTTGTTGTGGTGAGACCGTCGGTGGTACGGAGAATGTGATGTGATTTTTAGCATGAATCTTCCACAGAAAGCAAACTTTCACTTTGTGTGTTGTAAAGTAATTTGCAGTAGGCGGCATGGTAGATATGATGCCGTGGAATAAAAGGTAAGGCTGCTGCACCAGGCGAAGAAACAATGTGATGATGAATTTCTATTCTCCAACATGCATACAGACAGATACATCGTAGCAAAATCTATGTACCTAAACGTCGTCCTATTCGTCCTTCATATTAAATGCATGACTTGCACTGCTCGAGTACTGCATACAGTTATATTCTCTCCTGCGGTGCTCATGATGAACGCCTCGTCGTCTCATATCGTGTCGGGGAAAGTTGTTCTCGAGGTGTAAGTTTCTCAGGCAATGCGATATCATTTCGTCCTGGACCGGATTTAGCTCACTCGACAAATATTGATGAAACAGCCACCACGTTAAAGTAGACGAATGTATGTAAATAAGACATAAATATTCAGCGAGATTCATTTCAAGTATGTACATATAATGTTCTCAAACGAATTAAATTATCTATCTTCTGTGACAATTGTTGTAAAATAAAAGTCAGAATTTTGCAAAATACAAGTTGCATCGCATCCCTGAAGTAAATTGCTCTCCAGCCAAGCGACTCAAGTAAATAAGTCGAGTACAGTCCTTGCATTAAAATGGAACCACTCGAGACTTTGTGTTGTTCCGTTATCATGCTAAAGTTAAACAGGCATCATCAAAGTCAAACATGGGAGGGAAGGATAAGCAAAGCAAAAACTTTGTGCGTATCACGTGGTGGAATAAAATTTCCACAAAATTATGCTCCAAAATTTTTATTTTTCACCAAAACACTTTGTGGATGAGGAAACAGAGTGGGAGGAAGAAGAAGGTAAGCAAGATTTGCCACCGAGATCAAGTATCAAGAGAAAGTTCACCTCAAGAAGGAACCTTTCTCCCGTATTTTTTTATATTTTTGCTAAGTGCACTTACTTAATTTCTTGCCTCACGTATTTCTCTTTCACCAGAGCAGTCTCTCCAGTCTTATAAATTCATCATCCTGGTCAGAACAGGAGGGGAGGGATTTTAGGCACCAACAACACAACACGACGATCAGGAAGGAAGTGGATTTCTCTTCTCGAGTCCTGGTCCATGGTGGAAACTATGATTTAATGAAATTCCAAACAGGCTGAACACTTTCACTTTGTTGGTACTGCGACGGTTGTTTGTTTCCCATGAAGTCGACATACAATTTGGGACAGGTAAGGACGGGATTCGATTAATTCTTCTACCGATAATATTATTTTGCGGCATATTTCTGGGATTTCTAGAAATAGGTATAAATTTTTATGGCCAGAAATACCTCCTTGCTCGAATACATATATACATAGAAATGGAATAGTACTAAATTATTTGCAACGTTTTAGGTTCCGTTCGTCGGTTGTGGTCGTATCTAATGGTTTGAAATCTTGATGGGTCCCATAAATACGTAATTAGATGCGACATGAAGACTCGGGATGGAGGAGGGAAGGCTAAAATTAATCCCTAGTTGCGTAGTACATGCAGTATCCAATTTTAGCCTTTGTTGTGTCAAATTAATTGCAATTAATTCGAGTGTATCGTTACAATTTTAATCGTCAATCATCCAACCAATTTACTTAGTTTATTTTTACTGGACAAAATAAGCAAGTTACTTCATTGCCAAATTATTTTGTTTCCCGTGAACTTTACACAAATGAGACTAATTAAACTTGATATCGTTTTGGGAAACACGATACATTTCGCTGCCTTCCATGCGTGCCTCAGCCTGCGTCACTGTCAATGTCAAATTGTCCGAAATCATAGAAATCTCTATTCGTTCCTGCAAATAGAAACTCAATTCAACACGCGGAAGTGAAGCCGAGGCAGATAAATTGCCATGTCAGTCAGACTTTGTGTCAAACAAAGTCGCAAATTCGATATAACACTACTGTGTTTTGGCCTTCAAAATTTTAAAAGGTTTCCGCTGTGCCGTGTCAGTCTAATTAATTCTGCATCAATCATAGGCACTCGCTCTTTCCTGGTCCGTACTTTCATTCCCTGATGATGATGATGGCGTATTAGTTTATATTATGTATAAATAAACCGTTACAAACTAAATGTAGGAATGGAGTGAAACAAGTAATTTCCCAAAAAATTATGGAACCACACCCCCTGAACTCGAGGGGGGATGGTCCGATTGACCCCAAAAGTTGATAGGATCTACTCTCCAGGGTCGTATGTTTGATGCCCCAAACCGATCTCAATTAACTCGACGCGTTCTCCCGTTATCCTGCTGACGGACAGACAGACAAAGTCTTAGTTTAATAGGATTTCACCTTAATATAATAAGTAAGTAGATAGACAAGCAAGGTTTTATCCGTAAAATTGAGTATTTAGCACCGAATTTCTATTCGCTTTTGTACACAATCCGAAATACGGGTAGCATGAGCATAATAATGGATTTGTTCTCTCATTGAACCGTCCCCCCGTTTTTTCGCCGTGCTCTACATAATTTGATAAATGAGCCACAACAACGAGAGAAAGACAAAAAATAGCGTCTCTCTCACTCTCTCTGTCTTCTTGAGGAGACAAACGATACACTACTTTTCAAGTCTGGCATAAATAACGCCAGAGTAAATATTGAAGTAAATTTGCTTCACTCCACGCACCCCGACGACGACGGTGACATGGTTCCCTTGTTGTTTATGTTGGACTTGTTTGCATTTAATTATATATAAAGTCTGGGAAAGCGAGTGGAATAAGCAAAGTTTCATATGTATTCAGTCAGGGGGTAAAATTTCAACGAAATATGTACAACACCAGCACCACCACCGTTAACCCATTTTCCATTAAATACACTACACACCATCATCAAGTATCTAACAACTTGACGATAAGTAGTCGATGCAAACTTAGTCTTAGACGAAGAAAGAGCAGAGGCGGAATAACCTCTTCTTTTCTTTATGTATTTTTGGCACCCGTCGTAAAACATTACGACCAAACCACCGGCTTAATGTATCGTGTAGATATTTGCGTATTTGCGTTCGTTCGTACGAGGAACTCACCCAAAATGTTATGTAACGTCTTTAAAGTTTGATTGCCTAATGAAAATGTTCTTATTATGCAGAGTTCCGTGAGAAAATTGACATATTGCGAAATACATATATACTTGTATCAAATTAATGAATGGGTGGTCAAATTCTAAATATTCTATGAGCTAGTTCTAGTAGTAGAACGATTAGGGAGGTTGATTTAACAGAATAAATAAATAAGACAGATAAGAAGATGGGTAAGCAGCCGGAAAATTGTTTATGACAAGCAGAAAGAACTAGGTGGGCGAGAGAGGGCTAAAAAAGTGGATATAAATTCCACTTTTACACGAGTTGAAGCTCACTCTCATCAGATAACGGATATTTATTGGATTTCTTCGCCAACTTAATTTAGCAAGAAGTAAGTTTATATCTGAGGCTGGCTGAGGAGCGTGAACTGGTAAATTAGAGAAAGCTGCTGAACCAACAGCACGGATAATGACGGGCACGAAAGGGAAGAATTAATTGGAAACTTTTTTTTCATGTACTTATCAACGTTGAAATGATTATGTTTTTTTGGGGGGAAATGTGAGATTTTGCTCAAATTCCTTACCTGGTTGGTACAATTGAAGGATGAACCCGAGCCCACCTGCAAGCTTCGGATGGACGTTCTTCCTTCAACAGAAATGAAATATCTATGGAAGTAATTACAAGTTTTCGAAGGTGGGATTTACTCGTCGAGCGAGTGACGCAATCACAGAGTAACAAATAATGAGAGAAAGTTGTGACTGACGAAAAGGAGATAAATCACGTCCACCTTCGACAAGTTCGCACTCACCCAAGTTACATAGCACACCCACTCATTGTCCATAAAAAAATGAGGAAGAACGCGATCAGCACGTGGAAATAAGTAGCGTAGTCAAATACACAGTACGAAATTTCTTATCAGATCATGTCACACGTTATCACGCCTCACTTGAGTAGCACACAACCACTAATGGGAGCACTTGTCATGGTCAAGAAGCATCCGCGTCCTCTCTCTCTTTCCTTCTAATTCTTGAAAGTGGTTGATTCTCAGAACTGATTTAGCACAATTTGGACGCACGGCGAACAATCCGTCTCGAGTTCTTTAGTCGGATTCCATCCAGCATCTTCTTCTTCTGAGGGAAAGTAAAGAACAAGAGAAATCTGATTAAGTTGGGAAATGAAGGACATGATTTTCTCCTTTGTGTTGACAACTACCAAGGTCATCTTGTGGATGGATGGATGGATGGGAGGAGGACGTAGATAATACTAAAATTTATTTCGTACTTTAGAAATTATGAGGCTGGAATGTTCTATTTGAAGAACACAAAATTCTGCCGAGTCGTCTCAATTCTTCGACTCGATACAATCAGTAAACCGAATTAACTGCTGGGTTCAAACTTTTTCTGATTGGTTTTGTACGTACCTTTTTATTTCGAGGGAGGAAAAATAGAGTTTTTCCCAGTCCAGCAAAACAACAGAATGTAATTTTACTTCAGGATGGATCTACTCCTCGCAGGGTGTAAGTTTTCGTCTGCATTCCACCAGTTTGGTTGTTTTGCTCACTTTCTCGGTCTTCTTCTTTCTCTGAGAGAAATGAAGGAAAAACAAGAAAAAGCAAATTAAGGAATTATGTTTTGACCATCAAAGGCACACCACAAACGCTGTTATCATGCATTTGTATACATTACGATGAAGCCTCAGACTAAACAAGTGCACTGCAGGCTGCACATATGTATCAAGCAATGTCAAAGGAATAAATGTGTTGTGCAACAAAAATATAGTTTCGTAAACTCTATTTGTTCCAGTGAAATTTGGGGTAAGGTCAGAGGTGGTTTACGAAGCAGAGAGTCAGCACCAGGACAATTTATTTTTGGTGATTAGTGACATTGGTGAAGCTTGTTTAAATTGAACTTTACATAATTTTTGAGACTAATTTGTGGTTCGAGCGGATCAATACAGTCTACTTTTTTGACGGCAATGTAACGAAGCATCCTGAATCTATTGTTCCTTCAATAATTGCCAATTACAAGTCTTATGCAGACATAACATAGTTGATGATTCTGCATTTCGCGATCATTCATCAATCATCACTCTTTCACCATCAAACTCCATCATTAGACACTACAGCAAACGAGGAAGGAAGGGTACGAAAATCTGGTCAGAAGAATAGAATTAACCGATTTTCTCCACCATATTTATTTATAAAATCCTCTCCATTTCTCCCACTTACGACCTTATTGACAGAAATACGTACCTAATACATGTTCATTTCCGCACTATAATTAACACCAGCCAAGGTTATTTAAGTACTTACTTTGCAACAAATCAGTTATTTATGCACAACACGATCTCCTCTTCTTCTTCCTACTCATGAAAAAAGAAATGGCAATTTCCGGTGACCGAATTATTTATATGGATGCATTAGCTACGTACAAAATTGCTCCACTAATGCGGCACATTAACGAGACGGAGAGCCTAGGTTGTCGTAAATAGCAGAATAATTCCTTTGAGAGATATAAACATCTGCACTGACTTCCTCTCACCAACTATTCGTGAGCAGAGGTAGATTAGATTTTGCGAAAAAAATGTCGTGGGTTGTAAATACACACAAGTCATTTGCGAATTGGAATGTACATAAACTGCAATTTAAATATCAGACCATCGAGTAAAAGTTACATCGATAAATCGACTACGTATATTATTATGGAAAATGTTTCTGTAAATTGCACGTAAAAATACATCAAGTGCTACTACATACGAAGGGTAAGTGGCAATTACAATAATTTCCACTTTTCCCCCTGTATTCTCCTCAGAAGAACTCCTTCCACTTTCGAAAGTGGAACATTGCTATTTTTCTACCACGTGAAAATCCTCCTGCCCGTTCAAAACTCTTCAATTGTATGTTTACATATTTGTTTGATTTACACTTTTGGCTAAATTATGGCGGAAAGAAGTAAGGTTACGAGGCTACATATTTTTGCTTCGTAAGCTGATGTAGCTACCTCTATAAAAACGATGGACATATTATGGATCCAAATCATTTTATTATTTATATTGGCCCACAACATCGATCGGTCTACGGTGCAGTCTTTCTTTCTTCTACATATGTACATACGCCATGCACGTTTTACTATGCAGCTAGCCAACCACTTACACTTCTTTTCGTCGACTTTGCAAACTTGTAAGGAAACTTGTAAGGAAACTTGTACATGAAAACGCTTTAAACACCGGGGAGTCAGTCAGTCCGTCCGGTTCGATATCATCGACATAAACCAAGCAAACCTACATGTGTGTGTTTGCGAATTTTAGCTGCAACTGCGACGACAAAACGAGAACCATGAGACGAGTATGTACACACTTTCACTCATCTCACTGAATGACTATTATCTCTCAATAAACTACGAGTTTCTATGTTTCATCACTCCTTCTCGGACAGAGGAATAAAGATGTATTCACTTGTTATCATTGTCCTCGTAGAATTGGATCTGATCCACTTTTTTCTCTCTTTTATCCACTCCACAAAAGAATTTAGTGGGCAAAAGTTGCACAAAAAATAGGTCACTTCACTCCAACACTCACTTAATTATTCTGACGCCAACGAGTAGCACCAGTGCGGTGCGTTATGTGTCCATCCACGTTCGCCCAAAGGGAGTGAAACTTCCTCCTGTCTGGAAACCTCTCTCTGACTGACAAAAACTCTGCCGTAAAATGAGAAACATCCACCAATACGAGTAACGTTACATACTCGGTTGTCGTTTAGTCATCCCCAAAGAAAAATGTCGGGTAGCAATAATCCTCGTATCATGGCAGCCTAGTTGGAAATGAAATAGTTCTCCTCCGCAAATTACAACAATGCAGGCACTGCAGTTTCAGGGAGAATTGCAACACTTATTTTTTACTTTTACTATTACGATGCAGCCCACTCGGCTGTGATGTCCACGTCGGTCGTCCTTTCGGTCTCGTCGTCCCAATGAAAATGATGATACTCACTCACTTTTACTTTTTATTAGTGGGGAACAATTTGAGAAAGATGAGTTGAGGGTCGGATTAAAATTTCTCGACGTTCCCCAGCACTTTCTTCTCGGAAAGTAATAGTCGTTGGTGGTCTGTAGCACTGCTGGCTGGCTGCGATCTCTGGAAACTCAACTGGTTCACTTTTTGCCCTCACAAATTCACCCTGCGGAGAAAGTAGAGGAGCAGCAGGAGCAGAGTGAAAGTTGAAGTGGTGGCAGACGGAGAAGGGAAGAGAGACTAATTCAGTGCTGCTGAATATGTACCAACTGAACCATGCACGACCAGACCACGACGACTGCTTTTGCTATTTGCAAAAAGAAGGGAGGAAGAAGTTGACGACGAGGACGAGAAGGAGGCAGGAAAGTGGGCTCGTCCAGTGTGATGTGGTTTGCTTTAGATTCTAACAGTCGCCCGTCCTCACTTTGTAACGGGGATGTGATGTAACATGACAAATAAGTAGTTTCTTCTTGTTAGTCGTCATTCTTGAAGTGGGCTGAACTCTTCTGCGGTCACAACTTCACTTTTCAATTGTATCGGGTTCAATTAATCTGCAGAGTCCATTATCTCTGTTACTTTTGTGGAGTGGAGGGTGCTTTGAAAGTGATTATTTTTCTGGAGGAGAGTTGGATATGTTCAGTACGGTTCGTAACAAGGAAATAACTGCAGTGAAGAAAGTTGACCTTGGCTTTTGAGCTAATTCTTCTATATTTTATGACCTGATGACGATGCGATTGTATTCAGGCAACAAAAGTGAATGAAATGAATGTGCACATACATATACTCTCCGGATACATAATTCTCATTCATAATTCACCATGAATTTTTAGCTCGTCTAGAGCCATGCCTACTCCCATTTTGATAGCACAGTAACTCCAACTTAAATAGGTACTAGCATATCTATCGCGGAGGGCAATATACAATTTTTTTTGCTAGAAGTACAAAAATGCAATAAAATGCGACAATGAAATGTTTTCCTGTCATGCAATGGAAACACTCAACAGTTTTTCAATACCCTGAAGGGGAGGAAACTCTCGGAGTCGTGAACATTTTCCGTTTTTTTTCTTTCTTTCCTATGTATTTGGGTGCTCTCTGTCTCTCACTTTCATCCAGTTTTATATATTTCATTGGAAGATAAGCAAAAGGAATAAAACATTTTGGGAGCGATACGTACGCCGTTCTTCTGCTACCCACTTTTAGTTAGCCGTGCTAAAGACTCGCTCTTACTCTTGTTGTGTGCAAATAATCCGACTCAAACCAGAATATCTGATGGTAGTTTATGTACTTGCGAGACTTTGGGGGCCACAGCAGCAGCATTATCTGCACTGTGACGTGGATGCAAGCCGTAACTGATAAGCTGCTGCTGCCTGACGAGGAAACTGTGTTTACTGCTTTGGCCCAAATCGCACAAGGCAGGAGACTAACTTTGCAATGCAATGCATACGTAGAGATGAAGTGCCGATTGGTTCGGTTGTTTTGCAAACGAGAGAGAGAGAGACCGAGACCAAGAAGATGAGATTGAGCGATGAGATTTGGCAGACAGGGAAAACAAAGAATAGTTCGAAAGCGTGTCAGAGATTTCTTCTGGGGTTTCTTTGGTGGTTAACCATTTATCAGAAAACAGTCTCTCTCACTCGCTCTCTCTTTCAAGTCTGGCTTATGCCTTCTGCATACTTGTTTCATATTTGCGGATGGAACGAGCGGATAAAATTTAAGATCAAAGAATTTAAGGTCACAACGCAAAAAAAGTCATCGGGTCTGAAAGGTAGAAATATTAGAGAAGAAGGTATGTCGCCATCCCATCAACTGGTTATGTCACACAACAAAAATATATTGCAAATTCAAGCAAAACTTTTTTCGAGACGGATTTGAAGTAACAAGTCTGAAATATTGGATGGATGATCCAGATTTATCAGAATCGTGCATAAAATTTAAATTGATTTAAAAATATAGATTTGAATTTTATCTATGTGGGCTTTTGTTGTCGTCGTCGTCGTCCGCGGTTTGGGATTCTGTCCTCTTCTTCCTCCGTATCCAATTACATTTTGGGATTCGAGATTCCAATCGAAACTTGAAGTTAAAGTTTAGAGACTTTTTTGAGACTGGGGAAATGTCTGATGTTGCAAGTGGAGTTTGCTCTCTCGCGAACTTGCCTCAGAATAAATTCCAGCCAACTTCTCTCAGTTGTTACAATATGTTATTGTGTAACGCAAGAATTCGAAAGTCTGATTAGCCAAGATTTTTTTCACAATTCTTATTTTTATATGTAGCAAACATTATGACTAATAAGTAAATAAGTATTTTTGCACAAGCGTGAGTTTTTTTCGAGTGAAAGCATTTTTAAGCAAATAAAAAAGAAGTAGATATTCTACAAAATTGGGAGTGCATAATAATTATTATTGTTTGATTGCAGTGGTGATTGCATTCAGAGGCAGGTGCATAAGAGGTTTTTGGTGCAGTTGCAGCAGTGTTGCTGGTGTGAAACCCAAATCCAATCAAATCTTAAACTTTTTATTATCAGGTTGTTGTATTACCAATCGTTGTAATTCGTCGTCCACTTATCCTTCGTGCCACCAAATTTTTGAAATTGTGTCTTCTTTTTTTCTCCAACTAACGAGAAACTATAATTTTATACGAGCTGCTTCTTTTCTCTGTCGTCAGAATATGTAGGATGGAAATTTGGTGTCCTTTCTTTGATGTTGATTAAAGGAAGAACGGAATGTGGCGCTGTTTCCTCTCGTTTGGTTTTCTTATGTCTACGATCTAAATGCATGACATGCTGTTTTTTGTGTGTATGTATTTGTCTGCTCGGTTATTATACGGAGCGTGTTGTTGTTTCTGCTCAGTTTATAAAATTTAAATCGTATTCTAAAGTCGGAGGAGCTTTCTCTACTCTTTCCGTTAAATGATTGATATTTTATTTATCCCTTTCCTTTCTTGTCTGCTCGTCGCAAAATATGTGTTGTTTTCTTGTCCGAGGAGGGATCAAGAAATGGGTTTGCTGCTAAATGAAGCGCAACGACGAGGAGGATCTTGAATGGACGTGGAAATATCTGCGGAGCTGTGTCCGGGGATGTGCTAAGATGCGGACTGCTTGTTTCGAGACGGAAATCGGGAAGTACAGCCAGCCAGACCTCGAGCCACCCATACTCCGACACTGCCCGGGTTTTTGCACTTCGGAGTATACGCGAATATATCGTAGCACCATTGCAGATCTTCTCTCGTACTGCAAAGGTATTACATTGGCAAAAGAAGTGGCGTGCTGTGTGTCGTCTCGGGTTTGAAGGAGTTATTATTTGGCATTTTATTATGCGTGGTGTTCTTAATGACGCGATTTTTTCTGAATGTTCTTTGTTACAATGTTTTTCAGGGTTTCTAATTACCTGTATTGCATAATGAGACGTATGTATGCATACATTTAAGAAGGAGAGAACGACCTCATTTTAGCCTGGCATTATTTATGAGTCTAACGACCAAGGAGAAAGCGGAGTGACAGGTTATCTTGTTTAGATTGGACAAATTGCCTACTTTCTTCATCGACTCGAATTTGCACAACTGTCACGAACACGTCAGTAATTTTAGCGGAGAGAGAGATAGATTTGCATTGCACATTGAAAAATTAAGGATGGGAAAATTGCGACAAATTTTAACGACGACATATGTACCATCGCTATCACGTAATAAAGGAAAGCTATCTGACCTTTCCTTTCAACGCTCACTTTGCACATCGCAGGTATTAAATTAGATCGATGAATACTTCCGCAATGTACGTATGTTACTGCATCCATCCAAAAACCGACAGACTGCAGGCAGGCAGGAGACTTAAACACATGCATTACTTTATTCCCCTACCTGCCTACCTGCATGTCTATATTTCATTTTCCCCATAAGTAAAAGAGGACCAGCACCTCTTTCACCGCTTTCACACGCGGAGACGCTATTAAGTGAGGTAAAAAGTTGGGTTATATGGTAATACTTTCACCAAGAAAGAAAGCTGAGCATGTTTCTTTCTTTCTTTCACCCATTCTTTGCATTGTTCAGCACTTAACTTTCTTGCCAACCAAGAACCACTGCCACTAAAAGGCATCTTGCTCTTCCTCTCTCGTGGCATAATATCGTGGTGGTGACCATGAAATGAACATTGCGAATTTGCATAACACCACCACACACACGTATGCACACACCCCATGCAAACGCCATAAGACTATCCGCTTTGCGCATTAATCTCCATCATGCACGACATACAAACACAGAGCAACTGTGTGCGAATATATCCAGCCACCTTGGTCATAATTTTATTGCGGTTTCATTATTAATAGAAAAGCAACCCCTCTGGGACTTTACTGCTCCCTGCACAATATTAAGTTTCTTCTTTTCAAACAATGTATGTGCACACGTAGCTCTACATACCACGATCTGAAATTATATGGGTGTCGTTCCATTAAATGGGGTCTTATTTTGCAAACTATTCAATTATTCAAGGTCTTTTTAGCATACACGAGCGTAGATAAATAGACTGTTTCATATTTCCGAGGAGAATAAGCAGGATATGCATAATTATTATTAATCATTTAAGGAAATGAGAATTGTGGCTTGATTGATAGTAAATTAGAAATTAGGCTGATTTGCAAATTAGTTGCGATCAATCATGCATTACTTATAAATATTTGTACGTGCATAACTTTTGCACTATTAATGAACCATTGTGCTGCACGCCTCAATTTGCAAAAGTGGTTAGGAATTTTTTCTCGCAAATTATTTTTAGCAACTCCTAACCACATGCAAATATATGGCTGAATAGCATTATGAGTTCATTTCATTTCAAAGGATTCTTTGAGCTCACTAAATTTTTCATGGAGTCGAATTCTCCTCTCTCTCCTCCTGCTATTCAATTCTTGTCCAAAGTTTATAACAATGCGACTAACTGCCGATTGAATTCGACTTGTGCACAGCGTATGCATGGCGGTAGTAGTGTCCGTATAATGGAGCACCTTGCTCTTTAACAAGTCAGCACCAGCACAAACAAACCAAGGAAAACCGGTCGAATTCGGATTCCACAAACGAAATTTCTCCTAGGAATGTGATAGAAATTCGAGAATGGTTCCCATTACTTAACTATTGGATGCCCCAGGTTCACTTCTTGAGCAGGTATATCGGATCGATATTTGTAAATTGAGTTTGCCATTTCTGCCCCTTGCTCCCCACTCCCTGTTCAATCTTTTGAAAGGTAACTCTACCTCTGGTGGAATCAGACACATGCACAAAACACGCCACCTGCTCGGGTGGTCATGTGTATGTAAAGTCGTCGATGTGTGCCCAATCCGTAACCTTATATTAGTACTCACTTATATACCTGATATCAACCCCGTCACTTTTTCCAGAGAAAGTTGGAGCAGCCTCCTCCTCCTCTTTTAACAAGAGCATGCATGAATGGATGAACTTTCCTGTCGAGAGAAACTTGCTTCCTTCCGGGGTTTACATCCCAATTTCGAATTTCACTCCAATTTCATGCCTGTCTGTTGTCCTCCTCCTGAGTTGTGCATTAATTGAAAAAAAGATATAAATTCGAATCCCAATTTGTCTCGGTAATAGAGTACCCGCAATAAAAGAGGACATCGCTGTGGGTGGAATTACCCCAGTCCACCCCACCCACGAAAAGATAAGACAGCGAAAGTTGTAGGAGGAGGAGAGGAAAGGAAGGAAGGAGCAGAGTGGAAATCCTCATTGCAAC